ATTAATCTTTCCTTGTATTTTTTTTTATTACTAATTTGTTAATATTGCAGTTACAATGTGGTGTGAAACTTATTAACTAAAAAAATAACTTAGCTGTCTTTCTTTATTATTTTCTTTTTTTATTTAATCCGACTTGTTATATTCTTTGCTATATCTTTCATAATAAAGATTTCACGTATAATTATTATTGTTTCGAGGCACTTACTTTTGAATACTTTCCTTTAATTAATTAAAACCAATTGTCAAATTTTTATAATATTGTGTTAACATTTATTAGAATGTGGTAATTAGAAATACTTAATTATATTAATTTAATTTCATCGGGAATAAATTGTTACTTGAAATATAAAAAAGAAAAAAAAAACAATATTAAGAGAAGATATGTGCAATATGTAATATATATAAAAGGTTCCTTTAATTTTGATATACTTATGTATCAAGAAAACAATTTTTAAATGGCATAGAGCAGGGGTTTCTCAAAGTATGACTCGTGACCTCGTATGGAGTGTCTCGTAATTTAATTTCAGAATCGTAGGAATTTTAACAAAAATTAAAATATTTCTGGATGCGTAAAATTAATTCAAAAAACAATTTTAACAATAATTACGAGTATAATATTTATATAAGCCCTGGCATATATATATAGAGTGAAATAAGAAGAGATATTTAAATTTAATAAAAAATTTTCATTTATCTTCAATATATAATAAATATATTTTTATATACGATATATAAAATAAATATTTGAATTAAACGTAGAAACTTTATTTGAAAGTTATACGGAATTCATCGTTTTGTTGCAAGTATAAAAACGCGATTAGAATTATGAATAATCTCTTTTTCTCTCACCCCATCGTTCTATTCAAGATTTGGCATAATATATTAAAAATGTTAACTATTATTAACAATTAATAATTCATTTATTATGCGGACAAGAAATCAATTAAATTTATATTTTCCAATTTGTTGAACGTATCGATCATTCTATTGATGTTACAAGTTTTATTCGTTTACATGTGTTATATTTATTATTTCTTTTTTTATAAATGATATATTTATATTTAAACGTTAGGTTTGTTTTATTTTTAATCCGAATGTTTTATAGTTAGAAAAAAGGGTACAAGGTCAAGGATTGTTGTAGAAACTTATGTATAATAAATCTGATTTATATTGTATTCGTTTAGTTAGTTAGAGAATTATAACTATAATGTTCGTTTTAAGTTGTTGACTACTGTTATTCATATTTTTTGTTTGTTTTTCTAATATTAAGTAAGTGTTATTATCATTTAATCGAGTTTAAATATGTATCTTATATGCTTGCTTGTTGCTATTTACTTTACAAAAGCTTATCTGAACTAATGTAAGTGTACTTTCTTAATGAGAGAATTGCATGCAAAGAATAAAACTATGATATTAATCTAAAGGATATTGGAATATTATCACGAATGTTACATGAAGTGCGAATATGTTAATAATGTGTTTAATAAATAATAATAATAATAATAATAATAATAATAAGATAAATAATTWTAAWTKTTACACACATGTTGTAGTATCAAAGATTTTTTTTTGTATTATTTTCGAGATGTAACATAAAGAAAGAACTTTCCTTTACATTCAAAAATTTATTTACATGCAATGAAAGTACTTTAATGAATTTATCAGGAAGTTATTTAGTAACTCGATCAAATTTAGAATATTTTTTAATTTTTTCTTTTTTCTATTATATATCTATCACATTATATAATTCTTTTATTTAATAAGTATTTACACTGATTCGACTTGTAATTTAATTTCGAAAGTTAAGTATAATTACTATATATATAATATATATAATAGTATCTTTTTACAAGCAATTCAAAATAAACATTAATATAAATAGTAATATATTTGTATCTCAATATTAACTGATGATTACTATCATCACTTAATAGGTTTAGGTTTATCATATTTAATAGCTTTGGAACCTTCTACTTTCTTTTTATTAAAGAACAGCATCTGTACAAGCAGAGCAATAGTGTGTACAATAAAAGCTTTCATAAAGTAAAGATATGATTATAAAATGACGTTTATACGCAATTTTGGTCATATAGTTCAAAAACAGTCCTCTCTAATATTCGTACCAACAATTTTTAACATAGTCTCATTTAACAAATATACAGACTTAAAATTTTTGTAGAAATATATGTAACTAACAATAAAAATTATGATGTCTAGCAAGCTATTATTTTTTCAAATTAACTTTAATTCAAGATTTATAAATGAATTATATTATAAATGAATTTTACATTATAAACGAATCGTTATACTCATTTATAATAAAGTATTATGTACAAAAGCTCGCTAGACAATTAACAGTTTTCCCAATAATTAATCAATTGAATTTATTTTAATATTGAATGTCTATAAAAAAATAATACACTACCATCACTCATTAGGCAAATAAAATATCGTACTAATGTCTCGACTAATGAAACTATATAGTATGTGTATACAATAATTTGAATGAAAATTTATTTTATAAGCATCATATCAGAATAAAATCTTGTCCAATTGCTATCGGTGTACATAAAAATAGTAGATAGGACATGCACAATTTTGTCTTCCAAATGGTCACATGTTAATTATTTACTATTAGTATCCAATTCAGATGCCTTGTAATTTGTTTACTTATACAATACAAGTAGAAATAATTAAAAATACTTATCGACTTAAAGGTGTTCCACCAAAATTGAATGAAGTTGGTATAGTTTGAGAATGGAAAGCGTATCCTATAAAATAATAAGAAAAACAAATCATTCTTACAGTATTAAGTTTTACGATATTTTCTTTGAACTTACAAAAAATACAAAATATATATAATTACCACCGCTTTGCTCGATTCTTTTGCTTTCCAAAGCTGCTTTACGCTGATCTGCTAAAACTATAATTTCTTGCAATGCTTTCCGTTCATCAGCATTTAAATGACCCGTTAATGCTCTATACCAAGCTGTGTCAGTTCTCTCAATATCTAGTAACATATAAAGTTATTATATAATATTTATAAAATCATAAGATATTACAGATATATAATATTAAATGAAATCAATACTCACTCTGCATAACTTCTTTAAAGATAACATACTCGTCTTGGTTTGATTCATCTGAATCCAAAGGTGTACTATAACTTTCAAGAGCAGTTTCTTCGTTTCCGTCATATTCAGAATCATCTTCATCATCATCAGATCTATTATCTGCATGTCCATCTTGAATAGACGCGTTAACGGTAAAACCATGCTGTCCTGAAGACCTTGTTACTTTATCTTGTAATTTTTCAAGGTATTCTTGACTAGCATCATCAATCTCATCTTCGTCCGATGACAAAACTTCTGAAAATATAATTCATTTTAATAATATCCTAAAAAAACTTTTATATATATATATATCTCAATAAAAATAACAATGAAAACAAACCTTCATCGATATCACTTTCTTCCTCTTCGTTATCTTCCTCATCTCCATCCGTTACTTTAGCGGCATATGCTCTTTTGAGGCCATCGAATAATAAAATTAGGGATGGAATTATTTGCTGAACGCATTCATTCACTGCTTTTGGTTTAGCAGGACCCATGCTAATCAATGTACATAATCCAAGAACACAAAGTTTTCGATCGTGCAATCTAAATACAGAAAATACAAATTTATTGTAATAATATTATTCTATATGTAACTTTATTTGTGTTACTAATAACATATATATATATATATATTGTAAAATAATAAATATCGCACATTTATTAAAATAAAAAACTGTATAATATAAATAATAATAAAAATTGTATACCCTAGGAAGCAA